GATCACAGCCAATTTCCTGTTGCAATATTAAGTGAGCCTGACAAGTGTACTGAACATACTCCACTGATTTCCTGACAAGCAGTAGGCTGGTCAGGCGACAGACAGCTTTTCCCCGAGTAAAATCCCAAGGATCAATTAAGCTTCTTCTCTCAGCTATTCCCAGAAAGACAAAATGCATTCACTTTTAACTAACACAAATGCAAAAATAAACAGCATTCTGATGACGCAGTTGATTGAACATGTACTTTTGTTCTTGGGGAGGGGGGCACACCACACACACTTCTGAGTATATAAATGTCACTTATCAATGCCGTAAACGCCTCATGGCGTTTATTTATTTGATTCCTCGGGAATCATCGACACATAACCTCAACCGTTAAACGAGAACACCCTATCATTCCGTAACCTGATGACAGCCCACCTAGATCGCTGTTCGCACACAAACTTACAGCACCTAAGACTAGATTCACGCAACAAATTTTACCAACTCTCTCTCTCTATCTCTGCGCGAACTTGACTACAGCGAATTCTAGTAGCGAACCCAGTAAACTACGTATTGAGCGGGAACAGAAGGGCAGCCGAATGGCATCGGCAGTTCGAGACCCAGCGGATTCTTACAGTAGTATTAAGTTCTAAATATAAAACGAGGGCAGGACTGAACCGATTTCTGATTTCTGCCCTCTAAAAAAATAATTGAGGGTTAACGGGTGGGTGGGGAGCCGAAGATGAGAGAATGAGGGGGTTATGCAAAAATATATTTATGAGGGAGCAGCCAAAGGTGGTCCAAACAGACATCATATCAATCAACAATCTTTAACCAAAATGTGTTCAAAGCACTTGAGTCGAAAGAAAAAATCCAGCCAAATAAATCAACAAATCTGTCATCTACTGGGCATGAGATTTTTGCAAGCAAATCCAAATTCATAACAAACACCACACGCCAAACTTAGGACAGATAAATCCGTAGCAGACAGGAGTGCACTTCGAGATCACAGCCAATTTCCTGTTGCAATATTAAGTGAGCCTGACAAGTGTACTGAACATACTCCACTGATTTCCTGACAAGCAGTAGGCTGGTCAGGTGACAGACAGCTTTCCACTCAGTACAATCCCAAGGATCAATTAAGCTTCTTCTCTCAGCTATTCCCAGAAAGACAAAATGCATTCACTTTTAACTAAGGTCTGCCAGTACTCCATACCACACCATAATACTGTCCTTCAAACTGTGAAACTTGTTACAATGCAGATATCAAAACATCTTGTAAACATAAACAAGATCTTTACCTACATTGCCAGGTGTCTACTTACAGACCAGTTTCATTACCAACGGCATTATCTAAAAAAAATTAAAAAGACATGTATAAACTCAATCTCAAACAACGTCCTTGCAGGTGCACAATTTGGTGTTAGAAAAAATCTCTCAACTGATAAAGAGCTGTTCAATTTTACAAACGGCACTGTAATGATAAACAGTGATACATATTCTTGGACAGACTTAACTCTATCACATGACAAGCACATCTAATACATCATATTGCTCATGTACTTACA